CTTGATTTTGAAGATCTTTCGGGGATGGCGATGAATTTTTCAGATTTGCCATGTGGTTTTTGTGGGGGAACAAGAACTCAACCCCACGGTGGGTGCCAAATGTTAACACTAAAAAATAGAAAGTATGGAATCGAGAACTTTATTGACAAAAAGAGTTTATAGTGGAGAGAAAGTAGAGAAAATAATTTGCCTCTCTAGGTTTATTCTTGAAGTATTTATAGGATGTTTACGTTAAGTTATCCTAGGAATACAACTTTATTTGATTGCTATTTGGGTATTCTAATTCTAATAGAATTGGGTCTATCCTATTCTTGGTAGGAGTCTTCATAAGATATTTCCATATGTCCTAATTTTCATAGGACTCAATTTTGGGTATAACAATAAGATTGAAATAACTTAACTAAGGTTTATATATATGTATTTGAATTTCATGTCTATATCTTACAACTTTTTGTTTCTTGATATAGGATTGGAATTTGTGGATGAAAACACTGAAAAGCTTCTTGGTGATGATCATTTTCCTCGGTAGTTTGCCATTATTTTCCCTGGAATGATTGATCTCGTGCATGAAGTTGGTCTAGAGCTTGCCTTTCCTAAGCAACTAGGACTATAATACACTTGGCAAACAGGCAGATCGAGTTTCACTAGGGTTGGGTCAAAAAGAGTCATAGGTCAAAACATATTGGGTTAAAACGAGTCACGAGTCAACGAAAGCTGACCCCAATCTGTCCATCACTAGTGATGGATCAACTCGCATGTTGATCTAATTAAATTTTTTCCCCTTTTTTTCTCTATAATTTGTACCTATTACCATCTAAAGAAAATTATTCAAAAGATTTAAAAATGAAATTCAATATCTTATAAAAAGTTTTTTTTTTCATTAATTTAATAAAACATATTTACAATTCCTTAGAATCACCTTCTCCACTTCCCTTCAAAGAACAACACTCATTAAATTTGAGAACACCATACACTTATAAATCTTGATAGCAAAAAAATAAAAAATAAAAAGAAAAGCAGTAGTACCATGACAACCAAAAAGCACAAAGCCCATTAAAACATATTTGTTCTGGTCATTTCTTTCAAAGAATCAATCAATTGAATGCATCTAACTAAGCAAAGGAGAAGATCAAGTAGAATTTTTACTTGGAATGGAAAGAAAACTAAAAAGGGTAAACAAGTAAACATTTTTGAAGGCTTTAAAGAGAAAAGTTGGTAACAAAGAGAGCACTTGTCAGACTTGAAGGAGAAAGAAAGAAAAGGCTAAATCGATGGAACGATGACTCAGTGAGACTGAAATATGAGTTTGAGATGATGTTAAAGACTAAGGAGAAAAGGTGAAGTCGAACTTTGAAAGTCAAAAGTTGTATGAACTATGGAGGTTGAAGAATATGAAAAGAGTTTGAACTTTGAAGAGATAGAGTCTTAGAGAGTATTAGAGCAAGTAAGAATAGGAAAGGTCAGGAGATGAGTCACGAGTAGAGTGGGATTATTCTTGCTTGTCAAAGATGATGAGCTAAGAGAATCAATTAGCTAATTAGGGAGAATTAGTCAATTATTAGAGGTTTAGG